ATGGAAAGATCCCTTCCAGCTCAGGGAGCAGAGAGTGGTGCTATGGAGGGAACTCTGCTGCACCTCAGCCCAGCAAAGGTCAGCAAGGATGGTGTCCAGGGGAAGGGCCAAGGGTAAGGATGGAGGAGATCCCCAGGGAGAAGTTTGGGACAAAGGAGACTGGTGGGATGAGAGAAGGGTTGCAGGTACAGAGGGTACAGGTCAGTACAGTCACAGAGCCCTGTGCCTGACCACTGCAGGGGGTCCTGTCCCCATCACCCCCAGGCTTGGCCACCCACAGGGCTGTCACTGGTTTCAGCGTGACATTCCCACACACACAGTGGGAACAAGGGGGCTGAATAAACAAACCTCTCATGGTGAAAACTGATGGCACCTTTCCCTCCTCTTGCAACAAGCTTCCATCAYTTCTGCACATGTGCTTGGAAAAAATGAGCTCCTGAAATGTTGCAGGGTTTCTACTGATAGAAAGGATGTAGGATCTTTACCTGGAGCATACACACTCTGTTTTGAACACAGTGTGACTGCTCTCCCAGAAAACAGCACAGGGTCAGTTGGGATTTGCTACCAGACCTTGCTTCCTGTACTCATTTCAGATGAGTAAAACAAAGACAACTCCTTGAAAGTCTGCAGAGAATGATTACATTTCAGGCTCTCTATGGATGTCAGTTTCAAATACCTGAAATTATGAGAATATCAAGAAGCATTTGGAAAAYGCTCTCAGGCACTTGGTGTGATATTTGGGGTTGCCCTGTGCAGGACCAGGAATTGCACTCAGTAGATCCCTTCCAGCTCAGAATATTCTATGTCTGCAAACCTGCAATGGGGTTTCATCCCTGTTCAGCCCCCACTGCTCTGGCACACCTCTGTGGGAGCCTTAAGCTKTGTTCCCTTAGTGTCACAACACTGCAAGCCTCTGACCTGAACAGCATCATGGAATYATTTAGGTTGSAAAAGATCTCTAAGATCTGGCAAAGCAAAGCTCAAGAGAGAAAGCCCCAACTCGAATGCTGTGTTGAATACTTGAACGAGCCTGAGAGCCCTTTGAGAAGCACTTGGGAGCTGATTGCTACAACACAAAATTCTGGAAGGCAGAAAGCCCACGGAGAACTCAGCAGGGCTGGTGCCAAATGCTCCACTTGCCTTTCCAGCCTGTGCTGTGCCATCTCCCATCTGGGAAGAAAACATGGAAAACTTCCTCTCTTAGAGGTGCAGCTATAGCTGCTTTAAGGCTTGGGATCCCATTCTTGCTCCTTTGGCTGAAGCTGAAAACAACAGACTTCTGCATCGAACTAACAAAATTCTTTTAAATTAAAAGACTTGGAACACAGGCAAGAAATATTAATGGCAAAATTAATTCCTTCCCTGGAGCAGWTTGTAACTAACTCTATAGGTTACTAACAACTTCCAGAGATTACCTGAACCAGACCTTCCTGCAAAGCAAGTTTTATTCAGCACCCCGAGCACTCAGCTCCCCTCTGCCCTTACCTTGCAGTGCACCCAGGGCTTTTCATGCTGCTGCGAGCTGCGAAATATCTCCTTTGCAAATCGACTCCAGTACCTGTTTGTCTCAGAATCACACAACCACAGAATCACAGMAGGAAAAATCCTTTGAGATCATCACGTCCAACGTAGGACCTGACACTTTCTCATCAACTAAACTGTGGCACTGAGCGCCACGCCCAGTCTTCTTTTAAACACCTCCAGGGACGGTGACACCACCACCTCCTCGGGCAGACGATTCCAGTGCYCAATCACTCTTTCAYTGAAGATTTTTTCCTCCGTCTCTTACTAGCCATGTCTCTATTTCTAGCATCCCTTCACTGCTATAAATGTCTGGGATAGGTGAGGACAAGGGGAGTGACTAGGTGTTCCCTGGAGTGGGTGGGAGTTAATTATTAAGCCATTAAAAGCACTGGTATGGCAGGACATCAACACAGGTATAAAGAGCTGCCTCGGGACACAGCGCTTGCAACAGCTTTGCCAGGAAGGAAAGGTTTAAGAGGGATTCCTTAGGGGGGATTCCTTTCTCTGTGGCTGCAGGAGGGAGGTGCTGGGGGCTGTTGGTGGCAGGGGGCTGGTGGAGGGCACTGGACCTTCATCATCCTGCACAACATCACAGCACTGGGGGCCACGGTCAGTGCCTGTTGTCCTTTTTCTCTGCTTTTTGCTCTGTGGGAAAGGACAGGGAATTCCCTGCCAGCTACATTTGGCAACAGCAAATTAGGGACATCAGCAAAACAGGAACAGTGCTCACCTACGGAAAATTCCTTTTAAAACATTTAGACTTCAAACTTGCTGGTAAAAATGCAATTATTGTACCTGGAGGTTAAGAGCCTAAGAGATTTGGCTGTATCCAGGCCTTAGAAGAGAGAACTCTTGTCCCAGAATGTGCATTTTTTATGCTTTGTCTCTGGTGTTATTAACAACTGTTATGATTTGCATTATGCAGTAATTTTAGATACCACCGAGGCTGCTGTACACCAGCACTTCACAAACTGGATTGCAGTTTGCCCTGGGAGAGCAGAATTTGTCCAGCAGGTCTGGAGATGGGGTCATCTCTCCTCCTTTGGGCAACAAAGTGTACCCACATCTCCCAGCCGGGATTAGGGGGGCCTGAGTTGTTGCTTTTGTTCTTCTATGGCCGTGCCATGTTCCCTGCACCTCCCAGTGGTCCCCTTTCCCTCTCCACACACCTTGCCACCTTTGTAAACCTTGTATGCTGTTGGCCCAAGGCACCCCAGTGACAGCCAAATCCTCAGTGCTCCGGGCTCCTTCACCCATGTTGCTAAATCTGCAGAGCACCCAAATACACAGCRTTTCTTTTAAAATCACAGCTTCCCCAGACCAGCCCCAAGCCCAGTGCTTACCAAGATGCAGAGATTAGCAAGGTGTAGGGTTGCTTTCCTTGAGTTTCTTGGTAGAACCTGAGTCAATGTGCTCTTTTATGGAGAATTTCTAGGGTTACTCTTGGCACAGCACCAGCTGCTGCTGGCAGGGGGGGCACATTTCAGCGACCTCTTTCTCCTGTTACATTACGCACGTCAGCTGTGCCATTTCTTGCTCAGGAGCTGGTAGAGCCCACGGATCACAAAAGCCCATTTTTTACACTTTTACAATTGGTTCATTGCTCTCTCCTGGGGTGTTGTACAAGAATCGTCAGCTTTGGTTACACCAAGAAAAATAAAGAGTGCCAGGCACAAATAGTTGTCTTCACATGAGGGTGGGCTGCTTGGAGATTGGGGTAGGGAARGTCAGCCAGGTGATGAAGGAGTACTGAGCTGGGGTGGGGTGCAGGATTCATCCCTCCATCCTGCCTCTGCTTCCTGTTGGGGGCCAGTTCCTGGGGGAGGTCGACCCCATACAGTAGGATGGGGAGATTCAGAAAGGCTGAAGTGTAAAAACTTGTGAGTTGTGATAAAGGCAGTTKAACAGGTAAAGTAAAACCTGCACATGCAAGCAAAGCAACAGGAGTTTATTGGCCGCTTTCCGCCGCAGGCAGGTGTTCAGCCATCCCCAGGAAAGCTGGGCTCCATCAGGCATAACGGTGACTTGGGAACACCCCCCCTTCCTCCTCCTTCCCCAGCTTTTATTGCTGAGCACAGTGCCCTACAGTGGGAGATGCCTGTGGTCAGTCAGGTCAGKGTCTGTGCACACTCCAGCTCCTCACTGGTGGGGCAGGGTGAGGAGCAGAAAAGACCCTGATGCTGTGCAAGCACCACTCAACAACAGCTACAACATTCCTGTGCTTCCAGCGCTGATCCAAACACATACCCAGAACAGCTACCGTGAAGAAAATTAACCCTGTCCCAGACATAAACCAGCTCAGAGAGAGGCAAAACCAATAGATCCAAGTGCTTCCTCATTGTGCCAGGAGACCACTGGTTCTAAGTGTGAAGTATCCACTACACTGTAATATTTAAGTCTGTCTCTGAAAAATTAGAATTTTGGAGAAGAAATTCCTGTCACAATGATTCTTTCTGACTATACACATACGTGCACCCACCTTATCTCTCCCTCCTATAAACAACAGTGCACTGCTATGTGAAAGCATCTCTGAGAACACAGAAGTAAGGCCTAGGAAAGATATTAAAATATAACCCTACACTAACTCCTCCCTTGTATTCCCTCAGAGAACTGCTCTATTGTCTAGTGAAACAGTAAACTTACGTGGAGCTTTAGAATCTTCACGTGTAAGGAAGATGATTAAATGGAGCTGTGCCAGAATCTCCCTGGCCACAGCATGGGGCTGTGTGCCTCCCTCCCGAGCACCCTCTCCATACATAGCTGAAAAAGAGGAGCATGGAAAGTTCTGCTTCCCAAAAAGAGCCTTTCAYGTGGAAAGCCTGTATTTTAAACAGCAATGGTCAGTAGTTCAGGGGAAAAAAAAGAAAGAATGGTGTAGGAAAAGGGCAGAAAATATAAACAGCCTGATGCGGAAAGAACAAGCTGCATCAGCCTATCCTGGCAGAAAGCAAATCCTGCATATTTCTTTTCCAAAGACATCGTGGACTTTGCATATTTTTGCATCACGCCATGTCTAAGCAGCACAGGCTGTGTTGCATGGGCTGTCTTCTCTTTTCACAGAGCCATAGAATTCCAGAACCATGTGGGTTGGAAGACAGCTCCAGGAACATTGAGTTCAGCCTGTGACTAATCCCCACCTTGTCACACAGCCCAGAGCATTGAGTGGCATGTCCAGGTGTTCCTWGGACACCTCCAGGGATGGGGACTCCAAACCTCCCGGGGCAGCCCTTTCCAGCACCTGACCACTGATTCTCTGATGAAATTCTTCCTCTTTGCTGATAATGGCATTGTTCATTTTGTTYCACCCCAGGCGAGGATGATCAGCTCCTCTCTGTCTGATCCTGAGGAATGAAGGGAGACATGGGGAGTGCACCATAGTGGAGAGAAAATGCTGAATGGACAAGACTGGAGGACAGGACTAGATGCTGTCAGGAACAGTAACATATGGAAGTATTTCTGTCAAAAGGATCCATGTGGCCAAACTGAGAGAGGTGMAATCTTCGCACTGTATTGAGAAGGGTATTGCAACACAGTGCTGACCACAAGCCAGCATCCTTAGTGCAGACAGTGTGCAGCCTTATGGAGATTGTGTTCTGCCTTAAAACAGAAGAAAACGCACATTAGGATGGTTTTTCTTCAAAGAACAAGGCTCTGGATGGAAAAAGTATTTCACTGCTGTGTGGAAGAGCCAAAGTCACTGAAAAGYAGGTAGTGGAGAAGATGGCTACTGCATAGGACACCACCTGTCCTATGCTCGTGGCATCCAGTAAGGCTTCCCAAACCAGTACACCAGAGGAGAAGCCATCAAATGRCACCCTCTGAGCACAGCCTCTGAGCCAGCTTTTTACCTGTCTCACAGCCCATCCAGGTGGTCCAGGAGAATCACAAAATTACAGGATAGTTTGGGTTGGAAGCTCATCTTGTTCCAATCCCCCTGCCATGGGCAGGGGACACCTTCTGCTAGATGAGGCTGCTCAAATCCCTGTCCAGCCTGGAGAAGATTGTGGGAAAGAGTGTCAAAGGCTTTGCAGACATCCACTGCTCTCCTCACACTGAGAGAAAACACTCTTTTGTTGTAAATGASTGTCAGGTTAGTCCCTCTATTTACCTTTGGCAAATCCTCTGGCTCTCCTTAGTCATCACCTGCTTCATTTGTATACAACAGAGTCTGGGTTAAGAGTGACACGTATTGGTAAATACGGATATGTAAACCAGAAGATGAATGACTCACTGTMCTCTAGCAGAAGGGAGATGATGTGGTTTTGTAAAACAAACCATAAGTTACTCAAACCAGACTGTACAAACTATAAATGACAATCTCTTATCTGAAAACATACTGTACAAATCATAAAATACAGTCCCTTATCTCAAAACAGACCAAATAGCAAATAAAACCAAACCCCAAAACCAACAAAACCCTCTATGTTAGAACAGTTCAGCCGGAAGGAACTTAAAAACAATCATCTGGTTCAGCTGCTTGACCAGTTCAGGGCTGCCCTAAAGTTGCACCATTGCCCAAAAGCCTCTTTAAACACCAACAGCCTGGGGCATCAACCACCTCTCCAGGAAGCCTGGTGCAAATTTTATGCTTTATAAAGAAACACTTGTAATGTGCAGCCTGAGCCTCCCCTGGCCCTGCTTTGAGCCATTCCCATGAGATCATCACTTCCTTCTCCATGCCCCCTCCTCAGGGAGCTGCAGAGGAGGATAAAGTTGTCCCTCAGCCTCCTTCTCTTCAAACCAGACAAACTCAGAACCCTCAGCCTCCTCCCAGGACACGCCTTCCAGTCCTGGCACCAGTGTGGTTGTCCTGTTCTGGACACACTCAAGGACCTTCCCATCATTTTTAACGTTGGAGTGCTGTGGGTGAGGCTGCAGCAGTGCTGAGCACAGCCGGACCATCYCCTGTCCTGACCACTGGCCATGCTGTGTCAGATGCCCCCAGGATGCCATTTGCCCTCCTGGCAGTGGTTCCTACTGAGCTGCTGCCAACCAGCACCCCCAGATCCTTTCTGCAGGGCTGCTCCCCAGCCAATCCTCTCCCAGCTTACACTTGGTTCAGCATTGCTCCACCCTGAGCACAAAATGCAGCACTTGRGCCCAGTAATGCCACCGACAGTTGCCTGATGGTGCATCTATCCAGAACCCTCTGCAAGGCCTATTGTCCCTCCAGACCAGGGGGAACTCCCTCCAGAGTCCACAGCACTCCCAGAACAGAATCACAGAGCGGTTTGRTTTGGAAGGGACCTTAAAGCCCATCTCATTCCACTCCTAYGCTATGGGCAGGGRCACATTCCACTAGACCAGGYTGCTTCAAAGCTTCAATGCTTTTTGCGTTATCATGCAGGGTTATCCCAGATATTATCCAGCCAGGTTGGGAGGGATAATTTCACAAATCATGATTTGCTGTGAAGGACAGACTGCAAGTCAAGGAACCAGGAAACACTGGCATGCCTAGAGGGTGGACAGGCAAATATCCTGGGATATCCCTCCCTTAGCCTGGCTGCTGGTATTTCTCCTCCAGCTGATAAAATCGAGAAGCTGGGTCTCCAGCACCCTCTCTACTCTGGCCAGTCCTTCCAGGACTGCAAACCCATACATGGGACAACACTGATGCCTATTTGGGGCAGCCTGGCAGTGGCATCACTAAAGAGGCCATAAACAGATACTGCTGTGGGCTTTGGGATAACTGTATTAGATAAAACAAGCCAGGAAGAGCAACACCTTCACTTGGAAGATTTGCATCCACAGGTTCTCCTGTGCCTCTGATRTTTCACTTGCACACTCCAAGTGAGAAAATGGCTCCTTTGGCAACTGTCACTGATAAATCAGAGCAAACCTAAGGGGAAAGAGAGCTGGAATAATCATGCACACACAGTATCTCCATATTTGGTTTCAATGTTCAGACTGAATAGGAAACACAGCAGTGTTCCTCAGCAAGAGCAGGCACTTCTGAAAACAGCAACCATGTTCCTGTACTTGTTCAATCCCACTAAAGAAATCAGACACGGAGCACGTGCTTGCTGATCCACCAGTGTGTTTATGGCTAAAGTGCAGATACAGAGCTGGAGCTGCCCTGCTCTGCTGGCTCCTCAGCACATGCTGCTCTCAGGAGCTGAGGGCAGTGTCTTGTAGGGATTGAGGATGCCTTTGGGGTCCAGCATGGCTTTGAACTGCTGCATGAGCATGACTGCCTCGCTAGGTTTGCTGTAGTGAATAAAATGCTTCTTCTTGAAGCCCAGCCCGTGCTCTGCACTGATACTCCCACTGCATTTTGCAGTCCACTCGTACACAAAGGGCTCAATGGCATCCAGCAGGGAATGGCTGTAGGACTCCGCTGTGACGTTCAAGTGCAAGTTCCCATCTCCTGAAAGAAAGTATTGCATAGGTGAGTCAGGAAGAAAATCTTGGCCCTGCARTGGATACTCATTCTTGGCTCCTTCACATACTCAAACAACAGGGCCTTTGTCAGTTTGCAAAATGGATGAGCTCACTGTCCTACAAAGGTCAGCCTCTCCGTGCACAAATAATTCAAGTAGGATATTTGCTTTTCCATGCCCCCAGTGCAATATTTGAGGAAGGGTTCTGAGTTAAGCTACTTTCAAACTCCGACTTTTGTGATTTTAAATTCCCACTGTGCTGCATTAATGATTGTGCCACCACGGTGATGCCATGACAAAGACTTCCCCAATGGCATTTCATAATGATCATTAGATTTTAACGTGGCCCTTCATCACTTTTTCTCTCCCTATTATGTTTGTGCAATGCTCTAAATGCGCTTTGGCACTGTGTCAACAGAAACAAAGAAAGCAGAACAATTCTCCTTTTGCCACTTCGTGTGATGGTATTTGATTAAGCACAGAGCTGCTGGGTACTCCGAAAAACAATACACACAAAGTAAATACAACTTACTCATCCTCCTCACTCCGGAACTTCTTCCTGCATCCTAGCAAACTGTCACAGCACACAGCTTAGTCCTCAAAACCAAGATTTACCACAGGGAGCCTTTGTTATGCAATGTGTCTTTCAAATGATCCCTAACCAAGCATACTCAAGAGTGTTCCATGGTTTTTGTTGTACAGAACAGCTCTGCTAAGTGACCAATTTACCTGCTTGTAAAATCAGATAAGTTTCCCAGCACACTGATAAATCTATCAGCCTTTCTGTGCATTATCATTATCACTCTCTGTTGGAAGGCTAATGGCTCAAAACAAATTGATTTCCAGCAGGGTTAATCACTTTGGACAAGGAAGTGGTTATCTGCCAATTGTGTCTAAGTACATTAACCAAACTGATTTACATCTTTAAATAGAAAGTACACAGCAGGAAGATACAGATGACCAGTTCCATGGCTCACCCACCAGCAACCTACCACCAGTATATGGAAAACAGTCTGAAAGCAGTGAAATTCAAAYACAAAGATCCTGATGCACCCTCCTCTTCCACAGCCCTCAATTTAAGYCTCTCACTAATTGCTGCACAGCAAAACGTGCAGCACAGAAGGACCTTCACCTCCCTTCCCAGCACCCTCACTTACCCAAGTGGCCGTAGCCCACCACATTTTTGGCACTCTGGCCCAGACGAKCCCTCATGTCAGTCACCAGGTCATAGAGCTTTCCTACAGGCAGAGAGATGTCGTACTTGTAGACATAACCTTCATGGGTGAGGGCTTCTGTGATCCTCTCCCGCAGGCTCCACAGCATCTGAGGAATCAAGGATCACGGATATCCACATAAATCAAGTAGCTCTTGGGTTCCATGTGTATACCACACATTAGTCTGAACACTTCCCTATGAAAAATATAAAYCCACCTCAAAGAGATTTGTGGAAGAGGAAACACCAACTTGCCTTTATTTTGTTAYTGTCCGTTGCCACAGTTCCATCAGTGACCAAACCAGAAGCCATGGCCTGTTCTAGGAAGTTGTTCAATTTTTCTTCATCATGGGTTGAGTTGGAGCCCGAAGTTTCAATTAAAACATAAAAAGGGCTGTCTGAGAATGAGGGAGAACAAAGTAAGTAAATGTCCTGGGGCAAAACAGGAATTTAGGGCAGGTTTTGGAGCTTTTCCCACATTATGTGCCCAGATCCTCTGGTGCTAGTCTTTTATCTGTAGGGCACTTCACTGTATCTTTTATTTAGCAACCACTTTCCAGAAAGCTAGCAGTTTTGTGAGGACAGATACAAGTAAAAAGTCTCATCCATGAAAGTAAAAGGTGTTTGGAATGGATATACTAGAACAAAAATTATGAGAGATGCTGACACTTTAAAAAGTGAGTCAACTTTTAATGAGTCACTTTTTAAGTGTTTAAAACTAGTCTAAAAATCCCCAAGCAGTACAATGCCCCTTTCTATGGTGTGAATGTCACTGGTACCTGCCACTGGTCTGGACAGCTTGAGATGTCTCTCAACCAATTCCATACACTTCTCATCCATGAACTCATAGGCAGACAGGATCTCGCCCAGCATGGCTCTGCAGGTTGTGAATGTTTCCAGAACCTTCKCAAAACTCTGACAGCCTTCAGACAGAACACAGGGAGGAATCAGAACAAAAAACACTGCCCCAAACCCTTTGGAGGTTTTYGAGAAGAAAAAAAGTCTCAGTGAAGGTTCCCCACAAACAACTCTGGACCTGCTGAGGGACACCCAGAAGCAGCTTTTAAGCAGTTGTACCTGGCCATGTACTCTGCTGATCTAGAACCTGACCTGCAGACATGAGTTCTCAGCCCTGCCTTGTCACCTTGTCACTCACCAGGTGATCCCTGGATGGTGGCTGCCTCTGCCTACTGTCAGTCTTGCCCTGCTTACCTCTTGAGCTTGTCAGACCAGGCCCTCGCCAGCGAGGGGACTGTCCTGCCTGCCTCCTCACTCTGATAAGCTCCTGGCTTCACTGTCCTTACAGAACAACCTGCCCTTGCAGGTTTTTCAACAGGTATTAAATACCTGCACAGGTATTTCAGCACAGAGCCCTACACTATTTCCCAGAAACCAGCTGATGCTGGCAATGCAGCTCTGCTGGCAATGCAGCTCAGCAGGCTGAGCAGTGCTTTCTCCTCTCCAGCCCTATTCCCAGCCTCTGAATTCAGGTGTGAAATTGTTAGTATCAACTTCTACCTAGAAATGCCACATTCACAGCCTTAGGCTTCTGAGGACAGAGTATGGAGACCGCAGTGATAACTCCCAAGGTCCCCTCGGATCCGATGAAGAGCTGCTTCAGGTCATAGCCCGTGTTATCTTTGCGCAGAGAGGTCAGACAGTCCAGAGTTGAGCCATCAGCCAGCACCTGCGGGAACACAGGGGCCCAGTCAGAGCACCTGGGTRGGAATCTGCTGTCATGAACTTGCCTATGACCAAGCTGATGGGAAGTGACACTCACCTTGAGCAGGGGGACACAGCTGMAGCCCATTCCCTCACTGCTCCTCCAATCCCAGCTCTTCCCCCCCACATCCTACCTGAGTAGGATAGAGTACACATTTCCCCCTACTTCACCCCTCCCATCAGGACAAGTAATAATAGAAGATCCAGTTTTTCTCTGCTTTTCTTGCTTAGTAGTGAAAAACAGCCATTCCCTGCAGCCCTAGCTCCTGTTATCCAGAAGAAACAAGGAAAGCCACTTGAAACAGTGAACAGAATGAAGTAAACCCTCTGCCACTTGAGCCTTAAATCAAGGCAGAGTATCTCCAAGACAGGTTATTAAAGGCTGCTTTGACACTAGAGGGACAGATCTGAGACAAATGCTTCCTTTCTAAGCCTACACAATGAAATCAAGCCATGCTTTTTGTTCCCTACCCATTTTTTTCCATTAATGCTGTTTTCCCCAGTACTGAAAACTTTTAGAACCCCTAATCCAGCCTTTACACTCCAAGGCACTCATCAATAGGACAGGCACAGCTGAGGAACAGCAGAAACTGTAGGACACAGCCAGCAGCCAAATGAACCCAAAGCAGACAGCTCTGTTATGGGGTGGGCTTTAAGCCTTAAGATGATCTTTAGGCTGCCGTCCAAACCAATTTGTATTCCTATGAATCTATTAAAATCTGAGTGAGCAGCCACCAGAAGGGARTGATGCAGGATGGATTTAGCAGAGTGTTCCAGAGACCCACTGCTCAGGGGAACCAACRCCATGCAGATAACCTGGGATCCCCCAATCTCTGCCTACCTTCCTTTCACACTTGTCTGGATTAGAAAACCACCTAACACCACCTGTCAGCAAGCACAGAGGTGGAAGATGGAAACCGCAGCAGCAATAACATGCTACACACATGAAGACATGTGCTGATCCTTCTCAAAAGGCTCCAACAAGGAAAAGTTAAGAGTGGAAGCCTGGAGAGGAACTTGTCTGYGTGCTGGATAGTTAGAAGAGCAGGAAGCAGTAAGAAGCAGAGGATTAAAAAGAGAAGGGAACTGCCAGGTACTCGCCTTACCACTTCCAGGCCCAGCACTGTCCCTCGCAGAGAGCCGTATCTCAAGAGCCGCAAGCCCCCGGCGTTKGTGGCCACGTTCCCCCCGATGTGACAGCTGCCTTTGGCTCCCAGGTCCAGTGGCATGATAAACCCCTGCTTCTCCAAGAACTCACTGAGTCTCTCCAAGACACAGCCTGCCTGGCACACAAGGATTCCTGGAACAGAAAAGCCCTGCTACAAGCTGATGGCTGAGCAGAAGTGCCTCCTCAAGAAGCAGGAGAACTCTGAGCAGATTCAACCACTCTTTCTCCAAAACTTCCTGGGATTCAGCTTAAATGCCYAAGGAGACTGTGCATACTCCAGCGAACTGTCCCCTCCTCAAGCCTCGGGGAGCTTTGCTATTGCCTTAACATCTGCTCACCCACAACTCCGGGCTGGTAAAACATATGCATGTTAARTGTGCCCCTGTCTGTTGTTCCCTCTCTCTGAACAGAGATACTCACCCCAGCCTGACCCCTAACTCCCCAAACCCAAACAAACCTCCTCATGATGCTGCCAGGATGAACCCTGCTGTGATCTGYTCCCAGGAAAATGCCTGTTTTGGGGCCTGGGGCTCATTTCTGTGCCTCACATCTGTGGAATATTTACCAGACACCTTGTCAAAGCTGATGATCTGGTTCATGAGAGCAGTGGAGAGAATGATCTCATCAAAGACAGGAACGCTGCCCCCAACAAGGCCTGTGTTACCCCCTTGAGGGTTCACTGCCAGGTTCCTCTCATGGCAGTACCTGGAACGAAAAAGGTTTATGAATTTTTATGCATTTTAAGGCCAAAATCAGTCTGTCAGAGAAGTTTCACCTCTACATGAATGTCTACTGTTGTGACAATGCTCCTTAAAATTAAGCAGCATTTCACCTAAAGATTAAACTGATGCAAGAAGACAGTTTCAATGACAAAGTGAGAAAGTGCAACTGCTGTCTGAACTCAACCCAGTGCTGAGCAAAGACCCAACATGTGGGGTTAGCCCCATCTGTATCTACATAGCTGGCACTCATCTGCCTGGAAAGCACTGCTTATGATCCCACAGAAGCTGTTTCTGCAGCAGGCTGTGTTAACAGCTTGGCCTCCTCAGTGGGCTCTGACAGCCAGCCTCTGGCAGTGGTTTCAGACATGACTGCCCTCCTCCTCCCAAGCAATTAATGCCCTGTCGGCAACAAAATGTGCATCTGTGCCTCAGCTGCTCCACCTGCCACATCCCTGCCAAGCACCACCCACCACATCCTCTCTGAGCTCACAGCAGCTCKTGCACCAGGGATGGCACAGAGCCCCACAGCACCACAGCTCCTTCAGAAGCCCAGCCTGCCTTTCCCATGTTCTGCATCTCTGTTTCAACAGAGCCAGGAGCAGGTTCCTGCAGCGTTCAGCTCCTCAGCCTAACAGTGATYCAGCACAGTACTGCCCAAGCAGAGCTGTGCTCACACAGTGAACCACAGCTTGTGTATTAAACAGATCTTCAAACTGCTTGGTTCTGCAGTAACCTTCTTTACCTGGTCACAGAGACTCTCTTGAATCCTTCACTCAACTTTCCCTCTCTGAGAACCTGTATAATAGCTAATTTTAGCATTTATCAGAGCAGAAAAGCCATGAARAAAACTGCCTCAGCAAATCCARTGCTTAAGGAATTGGTATCTGAACRCCTACAAGTTCCTTCACCTGCCAGATCCTCCCTGACTCAACCCAAGTCTCCTCAGCACCAAGCCYRGCAGAAGAGRTGYMCRTTACCTGAGAACCTGAGCCACCTCYRCTGTYGTCTGTGGCTTCAAMACCAGYTGGCTGCAGCCTGCAATGAAAGCAAGGGACTCTCAAGGCAAGCTGTGGCTCTGCAGAGGTCAGAAAGAAACAGGTGGGAAAGCATGAGGTGGGAAATAACAATGCTCCCTCCCCTGTTAGGCATTTCAACCACTTTGACAACAAATATTTCARTAGCAGCCTTTTCCTTAATGCCCTGCAAAGACTTAGCATGTATAGGTAGGCTTGGCTGCTGCTGGGGGCGATGGGAAATGGTTTAAATTCTCATKAAATCTTTGACAGAAGCAACAGAGAATTCATAATTCTTGATTTAGAATTAGAGGACGATTTGGGTCRGGAGGGACCTAAAAGCTCATCTCATTCCATGCACAGGGWCACCTYCMACTRTCCCAGGCTGYTCCAAGCCCCATTCAACCYGGCCTTGGACACTKCCAGGGATCCAGGGGCAGCCACAGCTTCTCTGRGCACCCTGTGCYAGGGCCTCCCCACACTCACAGGGTTGAATTTCTTCCCAATATCCCACCTAACKCTGCCCTCTGGCAGTGTGCAGCCATTCCCCCTYGTCCTGTCACTCCARGCCTGTATAAAAAGYCCTTCTCCTTCCTTTTTATAAGCCTTGTTAAGGTACTGGAAGGTTGCAATCAAGTGTTCCAGAAGCTTTCATATTCTTATTCTGAGTTTCAATCAAACCTGTYAGCTGAATCAATTTGTCTCAGGAAAAAAAATAATTATTAAGTTAGAGGGCTTAGATTATTTTTTAAATGAAAACCTGCAAGTTTACCAGATACCAGGTACTAATACTCTTACAGGAATAAAGTAGTATCAGGTAAATACTCTTACAGGAGTATTTTTATGAGAAAAACTCCTTTTGGAGGGGCAGGCARTCATCTGGGTGACCAGTGACAG